TATTACAAAGCAAATTGATACAAATGTTAAAATATCATTGAAACACAAAGCACGTCTGTAATTATATCTATCATTACAAACATCACAAAACATATTTTATCATTATTACAGGAATTTTGTGAAGAGTATTATATATATAGCGAATGATATAACACGTGAAATGATATATCTAAAAATAATCGTTATTGTAAATTTTTGTTGGAGATCACAAGGGTTAGAGTTTCAAACCATTTGCTAACCATAGATAAACTTTGACGATGAGCTTTTGCTCATGCGCTGATTGCCTTTTTAATTTGGCAAAAACTTCAAAGACAATCAAGGGTAAATCAAGCCAGCCTTTGTAAATTCACCTCGTGCAGCTGTTTGCTTCAAAGACCACATGTGACTGCGAAGTCTCTACTGTACTTCTCTTTTAACACGAATCTCATCCTGGATCATTAAATCTTGCAAATCTTGAAGTAAGATATCTGGGCAAGACCCGACTTAGTGAGGCTGACCTACGGGTTTTCGGGTAGCATTCTTGTACTCTGGGGATTGGAAATGCTGCTGCGAGATGCTGGGAGATGCTGGGAGTGACTTGGAGGGTCATTTCACATTTTGAGCAGATGGTAGGGGCATTTGGAACAGATTTGCAACTATGGAAATTATCCCGGGCATTGCAATCTAGTCATATTCATAAATACCCATGGCGTAAGAGAATTGAATAAACTAAGCAGAGGAAAATCGGCTGTCCTCGCGGGGTAGGTCTTGGACGAACAGATAAACAAGGAGTGTTAAGCATAATATTGACACCGATCAATCACCTCGAACACGAGTCTCGAGCTGCCTGGATGCTGGGATTCGAAATTTGTCGATCAGGAAAGAATAAGCAAAGCTTCAAACTGTCTACAACAGATTCCCAAACTTTGAAGAACAAATTCTTTCAACTGTACATCGTGGTCGTGGTTAGTAGTTGTAACCGAAGGCGATGTTTGTACAGAGTTTGCTGTTGTTGATGAAGCCCATGATTTTGCCGGATTCATACCACCGCACGAGGAGCTGTTGTGCAGCTTTCTGTGGTCAACCCAGTCTGACTGTTGAGTGTTCACTGAAAGTTCTCTGACATGCAAAGGTCCACGATGAAGTTTCTAATACAATTATAAAGCTGTGCCATATCTGAAACATGTACAAACATCGCTGCCCGTGAGGCTCTGGTACCGACTTCTTGAATGAAATGAATGTATATATTTACGATCTAATCGTCCTGCCCCATCATGTCATGTCCAAGCTGGTGCAGCTTGGGCCGTGCGAAGTGAGGTGCTACTGGGTGTATGGCTTATTGTAAACTGGACTTTCAATTGGAAAAAAACCCTTGGTGTCTGGGCTTTCTCATGACAGATGTGGATGCTCACCTCTAGCTTATGTGGGCCACGTTTAAGTGATGATGAGAGGGTTCCGGAGGTTTGCCACCTTGAGAGCGGCTGAGAGTGCTGCATTGCTTTGCTTTCAGAGCTTAGCAGTCGGATCGAACATGCCCAATCTATTAAGAAACTGACAACTACAACTTTTGACGACATGACAATAATAAGAGATTCTGCATGTGGTCAGAAGGCTGCCGTTTCATTATAATTCTAGATTCCGACCCTTTCTCTCTTCTCCCTAAGCCAGGTATTGCGACTCCTTGATGGGCATACTTTCGCATCGCAGGTGAAGATCTGTATCATCCATATCACATGTAAGCCGCTGTTGCGGAGCTTGATAAGTCGATCTCGCCGGTTTTGTTGCTAAGTGCTAGCAAGCTCAGGAAGAGTTTGCTTGACCCGCTTGCTGTTGTTTTACGGGCCTCCCGATCTTTACCAATAGCTTGATGCCAAAGAAAGCAGACGGAGAGAGAGGGGGCCTGTCAAAAAGACCGTCTTTGAGATATGCAACAAGTGACCGCAGCTTGCCAGAGACGAGGCATTCAATGTTGGGAAGCAGATTCATGAGTCTTTCTATCAAGAGAAGGCCGTGGAGAACAAGGGGGGAGTGAATCTGGCCATTGAGACCGAGAAAGCGTGTGAAACGATATCTTTGAGACTTTGTCCAAGGGATAGAAGAGCCATAATTTTCAGGCGAGAAAAAGTTTTCGGTAAAGGACACAGTCAATTATATCATCGATGAGTTCACTTCGATTGTGGATCCTTTAGATTAAATCACAATTTGGTGCATAGCTTTCGTAGCATTTCTGTTTTGATCGGGCTCACGATCGGAAGACAATATATACCAGAAGTCAATAATAACCCCAATTTGGACGAAGTGTTTGGTGCGACAAAACAGGAGGATGAAGCTTTGCGGACGGGAAGCAAATCCAGCTTTCGACGAAAAGCACAGCAGGAATGCTATGCAGATAATAGAAGTCGGAACAGCCAAGACACTGGCGTCGGTCGATGCTGCCACCGCTAGATTGTCTGCGGATGTTTAGATCTTATGCCACGAGCTTGTACAAAGTTATGCATGATAGTTATAAGGCTCAATATGATACACGAGACAGTGATTGGTGATAATTCGGAATGTTTGATATCGGAGTACTGATCGTAGTACGATCGGAGTATCGTTGGGGAGGCCGGCGGACAAGTTTCCAATTCCTCCTGAAACCTCTTCAGCATCACTTCATATCCCATTTACACTTTAATGATGTACTGTAATGGAAGGCTAATACTAGCTTTCCACCCATCAAGCCATCTCCTACTTGATGTTCACCAACTCTCTCATATTTTAGCATCGATCAAGGCAACCTATCGTTAAAAACCTTCACCACTCAAGTAAGTGATTTTATTTATTCAATATATTCCACCTAGACTTCAGTTGCTTCACCACACAGTGCACAGTGGCGCACAAAATCTTAGCTGCGCATGAAATCATTTTACAGTCTCGTGAATGATGTAGGATGCTGTGACTAAATAAGCATCGAGAGAGTAACCCGGTAGTGCCATCATAACTGTGCTCTTGGCCTTTTCTTTACCAATCCTAGCTCGGTGCAATCGTGGTGCCCTGCCCGCCTGTGCAGAGAGAAGTGTATGTGCATGGTCTTGCTTGTGCCAAACAATATGCCCTTGGAAACTATTGGTAACACCATCCTACAAGATTTTACAACATTGAAGTGAGTACATATCAAGCACTTATTGTTTCAGTGCACATCAAACCCTTACTCGACTTCTATAGACAAAACAACTCAAATTTTCGATCAAAAGATCGACTGATTCCGCAAGTAGTAAACATGTGTCACATGGATTTATCGAGTGGCATGGTTAAATGGCAATGAAGTGGGGCCTTGTTTGCGGAGATACAAGAAACAAGAAATCCTTGTTTCTTGTTAGATACAAGAAACACGTCATTGAACCCGCGGAAGAACGATGCAGAGAATGAATGTTCGTTGGGATAGACTACCGGTGTGGGAAAATTATCTTGAACGCGGTCTTTATGCAAGTAGGGCTCCCTGTGCAGATCATTCGTCATTCCTAAGAGTTCTCGAGAGGTGCTTTGAGGACGTAAGATAAGACTTACTACCATGTAGTGAAGAGATAAGCGTGAGGTGTATAACAAGAAATTAGACACTAACTTGGGAACTAAGGAAATGGTGAAATCTGATGTGAATGTCAATGCGAGAAGTACGAGAAATTGAGTGACTCAGTACTCGATGCAATGAGCAGGGGATGTGTAGAATGAGGGTTTATTTCTCGTGAGAATTGGCCTGCAATTGTTGCGGATTTCAGTTTTACAGTGTCAGATTTGCCAAGTTAGACCAAAATGCCTGATGGTCACTTTTGATTCCGGCTACACGACTTCTTAAAGGATCCAAGAAATGGTCCAAGACTGTCCAAATCCCTGACTGGCTTCCACTGGCAGGACGACACCTCAAAGGGCTAGAAAAATGGTTCAAGAATGCCCAAGTCCGTTCTTGTTCATTGAAGTTCGAGGACAAAAGGTTGAATCCTTTCAAAAACATGTACTTAAGGCGGAGAGTAGCTCGTTCATGTCCAGTTGTCCCAAAAATGCCAAGGAAGAAGAGAAAATAATACTTACGACTTCCTCCGTTCAAATCCTATATACGTTGGTTCATTGCAACATATGCTCCTCGTTTTCATTTATTTTATTGCTCTAATTTCGAGATTAAGCAAGATGAAATCAACAATTTCGAATGAGGAGGAGTAACAAACAAGCTTAGTATAACTTGGAAAATGATATACTAAGATCAACAACTTTCAAGAAGCTGGCAGTAATGCGATGATGCGGTGGATCGTAGACCGCATCATTTTCTGAAGAGTGTAGTTTGCAAGATTCTTCATGATGTAGTCTATGATTTAGAAGACAACCAATGATAACCCAAGATTCTGAACTATTTACATGTTCATAAACTTCAACACAAGTAGTTACTCAAACGTGAACTTAGGTTTCAGCAAATGTGTTAGATCAAGCTCATGTTAGAAAGTGTTCGCTCATGCTCAACCGCCATTTTTTTTCCAATTTTACAAATGTTTGATGATCAACTGCAATCGTTTACAGGGTATAATCAGCGTTATGTAAATATCGATCATATTACATCGATTTAAAATTTAAAATTTTAAACAGTCAGATCAATATAAATTTATATTTTATTAGAAATAAATTGAACTAAATTTGAATTTTTTTTATTTTTATCAAATAATTTTAAATTGTTAATTTTAGTCAAAATCTATCAACATTCTCTGTTATAATTTTCTATTGATATTTTTAACCTATATTTAATTTATTATTTTCAACAAAATACAAAAAGTCACAGCTAAAAATGTTACAGGTCAAGGTTCTCCGAGTGGACGTCAACGCTGCGTACTTCTTGCTGTCTCGCCACTCCCGTCCACTGGGCTGCTCACAGCGCAGCCACTGGTGTGGTGAGATGCTTCATCCATGTCTCGAAGCACCGGACCGTCATTCTGACGGTCCGGTGCCGTGCCGTTATCCGCCGTCATTCTGACGGCGGAGAACTCCATGGCTCAACGGCCATGCAAATTACGGCCGACGATTTGGTGAACCAGGAGGACACCATACACAATGTGAAGGTTCATGTCGATAGGCGTTACAGAGACCAGCAGGTGTTCGTGGATGCTGCAATGCTCGTCGGAGCTGTTCTGATATTGAGCGTCACCTTCGGAGGATGGCTTCAATTTGCCCTGGGGAATGTCATCTGGGGTACTCCCAGATCAGCGCAGACTACGCAGCCATGGAGCAGCATCTTAGTGTCAGACGGTTGCCTTCTACTTCGCCAGGGCGCTGGGCGCATTCTACCGATGAACACCTTCCACATCAAAAGACCCGTCAGTTGAATCTGCGACATGGCCAATTTGACCTCGTTTCTTTTGGCCCAGTCCGTTCTGTTCATACTTGCGGCCTTCGTTGCAGCAGGTTTGGCATGCCTGCCACCGATCCGAGAGCAGCAAGCGAGCGTGAGACTTACGACCCTAATCGCCGTCACTGTCTGTACTAGCTTAAGTGACCAAGGTTACGAGCTGCAGTGTCCAATTCGACAGCAAAGTTCCAGAGCAATACTCGAAGAAGACATACAATAGTACAGAATTCATCACAGAGTTTTTAGAGTGGAGAGGTGATGTGGGAGGAGTAGAGAGTGAGGCCGCGCCTATATCTTTCAGATCTTTACATTCTCGATTTTGCATGTTTGGCGAAGAGAAAGTAAACTTCTAGGACCTTGAAATTGACTGTTTTGCCTCAAACAACTGTACAAAGTGACAGACATTGCAAGTCGAGGAAATGCTCAATTGCTGATCGTGGTGTGATTTCACGAAAGCGAACGTAAACGAAAAAAGAACTGCAGACAACGATGATTGTTTCTCAAAGAAGCTAGTAAGGTTACAAACATTGTGCGTGCTTTGCAAGGGAGAGCTTGATAGCTGGTTCGACTCCTCCACTTGAGTGAGGAGCGAAGACTTAGATTCGTAATCTGAGTCAATTCTAGTCACACAATGAGTACTTTGTACTTGGCTGTTTTTTTCAGCCATGGTAATGCTCAAATACTGTGGGAAATGTCTCCTGACAAAACCTCTGTACGGCCCACAACGGGTAGATCTCAAGAAGGCATTGGCGGAAGCGCGGCTAGATCTCAAGAAAGCATTGGCGGAAGCGCGGCTCGAGGACAACAAGTAAGTGAGTCTCGAGTACGACACAATTTTGAACGATTTTTAAGGACAATTTCTACCACGATCTTCCCGTTGTCTTTGTCAAAAAAATTTCACATACATAGGAAGAGAGATAATTTTTTCACTTTGAAAAAGTACAATCTCTCTGCGCTCATACCTTATTACTTTTCTGCAATTCTGCGCTCATACCTACTCACATTCATTCACTACCTTTCTGCCATTCTGTTTTGTTCAGGCTAACATATCTGACATCTATTCATTTCTTGATATGCTTGGTATTTTACAGTTTGTAATGGATTTGACAATGTTACTATTTTACAAAATAAATTTTACCCCCCCCCCATTGATTGAGAAAACTCTGGGGTTGGTGTCTAGGAGCGCCTTCATTCTAGCGTAAGCTAGATTGTACTTCTTGACATACTTGGGGTCCTTCTGTCTGGTGCGCGGGCAGAAACAGGCAACCTGCAAGGTTACGAGGTTATGAGGGCAGAGAGATTGTACTTTTTTCAAAGTGAAAAAATTATCTCTCTTCCTATTTATGTGAATTTTTCTCAACAAAGATAACGAAAGGATCGTTGTAGAAATTATCATTTAAAATTGTTTAAAATTTTAAATTTGATCCGCGCTTACTTGTTATCCGCGCTTCTGCTGAGGACGGCAAGTAATGCCTTCTTGAGATCTACCCGTTGTGGGTCGTAAATAGTTTTTTTGTCAGAAGACATTCTTACAGTTTTTGAGCATTATCATGGCTGAAAAGAACAGCGAAGTAAAAAGTACTCATTGTGTAATTACGATTGAGTCAGATTAAGAATCTGAATCTTTGCTCCTCACTCAAGTGGAGGAGTCAAACCAGCGATCAAGCTCTCCCTCGCGAAGCACACACAATGTTTGTAACCTTATTGGCTTGTTCGAGAAACAATCATAGTTGTCTGCAGGTCTTTCTTTGTTGACGCTTGCACCCGTGGAATCACACCACGATCAGCAGTCGAGCATTTACTCGGCTTGTAATGTCTGTAACTTGGTACAGTTTTTTGAGTTAAAACAGTTAATTTCAAATTCGTAGAAGTCTAGTTCCCTTCGCTGAACACGCAAAATTGAGAATGTAAAGATCTGAAAGATATAGGGGCAGACTCCCTCTCTCCTCCTCCCACATCCCTTCTCCATTCTAAAAACTCTTTGAGTGACAAGTTGCATTATCTGTGGTCACTATCTGTTGGAGTTGTAGTGGCGATGGTTTTAATGTTTGAGCAATTTCGTGTCAAAGTAGTTCTTGCGCTGGTTCTGGTAAGTGCGCTGGTTTTGGTAATGATGCGGTTGCAGACATTGTCAAAAATATTTTGCAAACTCCGGCAAAAGAAGGATTAGTGGCCAACCGGGACGGAAACTCCTCATAACAAAGGTGATCTATGGACCCATCCTTGCAACAAAGCCCAGAGTCAACTGAACGGTTTATGCTCGGAAGGGATTCTAAAAGCTCAAGTTCTTTCACAGGTACGTAGATGGAGTCATTATCACGGCCTTTTCGACAGCTCCAGGAGGTCCATGGTAAGTAGTTCAAGTGCCAATTGACTTCTCTTCTTCTTTACTATGTAGAGCTCTGTTGAAAATTAGCGCTGATTTCTTGGCTATCATATTCCGTAACTAGATAAAGTGATTGCAAGTCGTGAACACAAACAAAACTGGTTTGATTTTGAGTTCTAGGACTGCTGTCCTACAGGTGCACCCGAATGTTACGTGTATGCTCTTCACTCCGATTCGTGCTCATTGACTGTCTTTGCGCCCGGTTATTTTGTCGGATTCGGATTAGCTAGATTTGAAGGTAAAAAATACTGTCTTGTTTATACCATCTTGTGTTCTGTACTCTTTGTGTTTTCCTCTTTCTCGAGCAGACTGATACACCCGTCCGAGTATGGCAATCCAGCGACGTTCCACTTTCTTGACATATATCCTCAGTTCTATGAATAGTCCGTGATTTATGGAATTGAATGGTTTTGATCCTTTTGAATTTGTTTGCAAGCCAGGTGCCCACAGAGAGTGGAAATAAAGATTGGGTTTGTTTCGATGGGAAGAAATGGTAACAATCGTCTAACGGTGATTCGGTGCGAATCTGCATGAGCGAGCATCCTCTTCCGTGTGTTAACAACAACGATCAATCGCGTGTAAACAAGCTGGAGCGTTTTAGTGTTATATCATCAATTATTTGAACGCATCACCTCGACGGCCTTGCAAAGCATCTGATTCTTTTGTGAAGGCCATACAGGAATCGCTGTCTAGAGATGGTGTAAAATACCTGTCATGATTGTAACAACTCTTGTTACCCTTTGCTAGTATAAAGAGAGATGAGGATCAAATGCTGGTCGAGTGGTATCTCTATCTAGCATAGTGCACAATATGTGCTTGTATAATCACCATTGCATTCCGACATTGGACTTGAAAGGAACTTTGAAGAGTACCTCCTCTGATTGACTATGAGCTAGACCTGTTCAATGCAATCATGTTCAATGTCATTGCTGGCGCAAATTTGTGTTCAGATTTGCCAATCATCAGGTTTTAAAATGGAGATGTGATGTGTGTTTCATACATATGCTTCAATGGATTTAATACAGTTCCGCATTGTATTTGCCTGACATGATAATGAACAAAACCATGGCTATGCTTGTGGCCAAGAAAGTGTCTGAGATGTACCATAAATTTTAGCAAATCAGGAGCTGTCGGTTGATAGGTGGTCTCTGAAACAGGTATGACCTTTTTTTCAATGTAAGCACTTTACAGATATACTGAGGCGAATATTGATATCGTTTTGATTTGAAATCTCTCTGGATGAATAATCATGATTATAGATGGTGTTTATTTACCCTTCCAAATCTGGAACGTGATGTTATCTATTCCACAAACCTGAACCAGAAAAGGAGAGTGCAGACGAGAGTGCAATGAAAATCACGTGCTCAAAGCATGAGGATCAGGAACTGTGACAGTTGTAGGTATGGGATCATTCGACTGCTGAAGATCAGAACCCGACACCGCGAGGACATTGCAAACGATTATCGAAACGTGGATCGAAACAAGAAACTATCAGAAATTATTTTGAAAAATAATATTAGAGTTCAATGTGTTTCAAGTTAAGTCAGGTCCTCTCTCGGTTAGATCACGAGAAATACTGTTGACCACAAGTAAAAAATCCCTGACCATGCTAAGCTGGTTAGCAGATGGGCACGGCGGAGGAGGTGTCTGCTCTCTGAAAGTCGTAAATGGCGGTATATTGGAGACATGCTTGTCTGGTGCTGATGAAGCAGCATGCATTGTAAAATTATTTACCTCTTAACTAGATTAATATTTATCTGCAGATTCTTCTAATCAAGACCTGTGAACACTTAGACTGCTCGTATTGAATGCTATATCTGCGCATGGACTGGATTGAAAAGATTGCAGCCTCTGTTTGTGACATCCGCTCTTTAGGGGTTCTCGACTTCACACCTCGATGCAGTGACGATAATGCTCTTCAATAACACTACGTAGCATCTTCAATTGCTACATCTGTGCGTCATGTGCTTAATCTGTCGAGACATATAAGCGTCGTATAATATGTTTCAGAATGAGTAAATATGAAAAGCTATGTTTGAGCAAAATTATTCTATTTCTTAGAGCTTTCGGAAACATTTCGTATCCTACGATTTTGTTTACAGTTTCATTCGATATCAAGGTGGTTTTCATTGTTTTGCATGTATAGTTCGTTATATTTATCCTGGGTTGATTTGAACGATTAGAAGTTTTATATCATCACATCAACCATATTAATATTATCCGCACAGTTTTTACATGATTACTAGATGCTATAGTTTAGAGAACTATTCAATTGACAAAGTTTAGGGTAACGCCATGGGCCTAAATTTACTAGAATTATAAATTGTATCGATTTCTAAAAAATTCATTTTGACTTAAGCTAGAAGTGAACTATTCTGTAATAATTAGAAGAATAAAATTTCAAATCACTTCTGATATACGTCTTGATTTTGACGGTCTTTTTGGGAATACGTATATTATATAAATTATTCATATAACTTCGCATGTTCAAACATGCAACGGATTTGAGGACATGAAGCATGTTATGCTTCAATTTTTAACAATGAATTCCAAAAAATGAGTCAAGTGCTGAAAGTTGATTTTTATTGTGTGCTCTTGATGCCACAAAACCATGTCCTTATTTTTCTTAAACATGAAAGGAACGATGGATTGATCTTGGAATTATTTAGTTACTTATGCTGTTCACAATAGCTATATATTTTTATTAATTTCTCAAAATAAATTTTGCCTTATGGAAACTCTAATCTTGTCTACTATTAAGTGAACGGTTACTTATTTCTCAATTTATACTTATTATACCTCACCCTACAAAATAACTAACAAGAACTAACTTTCATAGAAGAAGCACAATCGGAACTGCTAGCGACACGATGATCATGAGGACTTGTTCGCAGACAAAGTGCTCAGAGAGCTCACTCATGGAAATATTAGGATGAAAATTTGTATCATGAACCAGCAGGAACAACCTTCAGTTGGATCATATGCCGAAAAGACTGATTTCTGACAATATAGGTCGTTCGAAGATGTTCAACTAGAAAGGCGCTGGATTTTCAGAGGATCAGTAAGCTGGCCAGGTATTTGGGCGAGGCGTTCGAGAGCACGAATGAGTTTGTTAGCGAAATTGTGATATTGAAAATATTACGTAGTTCGGCGTCGTCTATTCGAAACTCAAGGGCTCTCAACGAGCTGAAGACACACAGGTGCAAGTTATAGACAAGCCACTGAAAAGTTGTAACACATAATTCTGTAAAGCCCGGAGTTGTATTTGACCAAAAGCGTCTTCTCTTCTAGACCCGTACCATTTCATAGGTAAATAGACCAAATGTAAACTCCACAACTTCCAACCTTTCAAATTTATCACCAAGATCTAACATCTCATTGTGATCTCAAAAAACTAGGATGATGATTTCGGTACAAGGACTCGATGTTATGTCGTTTGTTCAATAAAATTACCATGTGGTCAATTATCTTCTAAAAGCCAGTAGAGATAACAATGTGATGTAGATCTTTAGAGCGGGAAAAATTTGCGCTGGTCAAACATCAAGTCTTCTGTCCAAATAATTTCCCTAACGGTGGTCGAGCAAAACGTTTTCATGTACAAAATGTGCAGAGAGGTTCCCACTATTTCATGATTGACTTAAATGTCAAGTCAACAGGTGCCAAAGAAGGTGTCACAACAACTCAAAACCCTCTGCAGCGATACAGCTGAATTATGCAGTCAGCAAAAATAAGTGTAGTCTAGCCGGTTTTAGAAGTTGTTAATGGCTCTGACTGGAGATGAACTGAGGTAGCGAAAGAAAGGAGGCCCGCGAGAAAAGCTCAATTTCTGTGGTGATGGGAAATCTGTACAGTCATCGACCTATCTGAGATGACAGAAAGTATAAAGTCTTCGTATATTAAAATTTCCTATATGCTCATCTCTTTCAGGCCGGAGGAAATGAGAACCACAACGAAGAAGGCCATAGCACTTGCTTGAGTGTGAGAGTTTAAGATTGGCACGTTTATATGAAGGGAAGTAAATTTTAAGTCCCCCCAAACATATTAGATTCAAAACTTCTGTACCTTCTCGAACTTCTCGGAGACATCATCTTATTGTTCGATCTAGGTCATTTTCAACGAGTTTAAGGTAACACAGCCAAGGGAGTTTAACTTGTCATACAGGTGATAACATCTGACGGTATCCTCGTCATGTTGATCGATGGACAAGTTCCAAGACCGTGAAGAATTTTTGGTAGCGCCCGTTGAGATTGAGTGTATATCTATGCCCATGCCACAAGCTGTGTAGGGTACGAACTCCGGCTCCGAACCTTTCAAGTGCTGCTGAAAAAACTATGGGGTAAGTAATATCCTCATTCCATAGATTTCCCTTAGTCTACTTTCGGTGCGAAAGTCACAACAGACGAGCTGAAATGGAGAAATAAGTGAAATCAATTTTCGTTTAAGGCGACATGAATAAATCTTGCGTGTCTGACTAAGACTTCGAGTACTGAAAGTACGATGACACAAGTCATTGTGGAGTACAGGATATTTGCCATAATCTTGAGAAAAGGAGCACAAGGAATGCTATTATACATTTGAATGAAGTCTTCTACTGAAAGCAGAAGTAAATAAAGTGGAACCAATTAACAAGGTTGCCAGTTCACGGAGCAACTTTTCTTAATGGCTCAAAATGTCCATTTTTGAATGAAGTTTTGCATATGTGGACTTGACTAGCAGATCTCTACCGTAGAAATCTCCAGTTTGAATGAGATCTGAAGTTTAGGGGGACTTTAAGGGGTCAAATAACAAAATCGAAGAGCAAAATGCCGGCCCAATGACACACTGCATTCACGAATTACTGTACTCGGCCCTATATAATTCAGGAAAGTTATTCATAGTAATTCAGCGGCCTGATTATCCTAGTGCATGTTCATTGCAAGATCGATGTACTTCTCTAGATCTACAAAGTAAGTTGATTCATCAGGTTTGCTTATGGTCCAGTTCACAACCTTACAAAATTATGAATGCTTCATATTTCAGTGAGGACCAAGTGATCCACTCAGAAATTACAGCTGTGGCATATAAAAAGCGCTGGTTGACTGAAGCAGTATAAAGACAATGGCGATGAAGTTTTGTTTTGAGGAATGGATCGTATTAATTCTATTTCGATTGGGTGACGCTTAAATCGTATAAGAGTGGTCTTTAAATTATTATATTGCAGTTCATCATGAACTAGCCCATCTGTTCGACGTCCAGTGAGGCGGACAAAGTGGTCAGTTGTGATGGCAACGGCGACCACTTTTGGGAAGAAAGCAATTCACTAGTTGTAGCTTATTCTACTTCTTGTGCTATCTCCTTCGGGATTCACAAGAATGACAGAAGCAGTCTCAAAAAACTACGTGACGATCAAAAGCTTCTGACCAGTTGAAGGCTTAACAGTCACCTGCTGTTATAAAGACGACGTGGTCGCAGCTCTTCACGTACGACAACACGAAAAGAAGATTCATTGGGTATTCAATCCACAGGTCTTTGGATGTAGACTATAGGTGCAACAGAGAATTATGAAATCTTCATGTACGCCTTGTTAGCGACACTCAAACTCAGCGGTCTTGAAACTGTGATTTCTGATGAATAAGTGGACGGAACATTCGTTCATAGAAAGCCTATGATCTCGAATAAATTGGACGTTCTCCAATGTAATAGTGCAGATGTAGACCATCTAAGATCAAGAGATGGAGTTAATGTTTTCAGGCATTGGCTCGACAATATTCAAGCTAGACTGTGAAGTTAAAGTGCGAGCACTTGGTTCTGAATTAGTTATCTTTATCGAGGCCATTGTGACCGTCAAGTTGAAGCAAACTCCTTCGTTTCTTCGACCTGCTTCAAGAAGGTCTCGAGGTTATCTAGGAACTCGCCATCTAATATAATCAATGGCAATTAAAATTGTTGTTCGAACATGATGATCAGTCCCATGAGGTGATTTCATTTTCCTTCTTTGCATTGCACCTCTATGTCTGCACATAAGAATTTGACAGACTGTATGTAACCCGTGTCTTAATGAGCCTTCGGCATCTTCGTTTGTATGTTGAATTCACAGATTGAGGCGAAGTCAGTCAAGCACAGTTTTGATTTTGGCTTTGTCTTGTTAGGTTTATGTCCCTTTTCTTCTTCGACCTTCTTTTCATGGTGCACCATAGACGCTCTTACAGGGTTATCACCGTAACAGGATTCTCGCAGACAGGACTTCTGCTTGTCGGACTCAACATTGATTTGAAGCCAATCAATTCTCTAGAATATACGATTTGACTATCATCAGTTGTACCTCTTTAAATAAATAAACAAGTTAACCAAACTATAGCTCTGCAGGCCCCTCAAGATTGGTTTAATTTAAGGTTAACTTCCAGACAACCGATTTCCACATACATTCAGTTTAGTTTCTGCTCGTCCTCAGGGTTGACTGACTAAAGGGCAAGAATTTTCAGAAAATATCGGTTTTTGACATCCTGTGAAGGAGTTGAAGAGCTGACACAGAACGTGGTGTGGGTTTTACCGAACATGTAAGCTGTAGTCTAATTATTAACAAGTAAAACACCATAGATTCATGATGAAGCACGAGTTTTAGAATATCTAGAATGTATGCTGGTATCTCAACCAAGGTTCAACTTGATTTAGCGTACTCATAGCTAAGAATTGAAACCTTCCTGCACAACTGGAAGAATTGAACATTATAGTGGTGGGACTTGAAAGCTAGCGAACTAATGATTGTTTCTTAACCCTAATAAACATGTAATACCTGTTACATCACCATCCAAAATCTTCAGACTCGTTACACTATTCTTGCAATCCTTGCGAACTGCGAATATGTTGCAATTGAGTTACAAAATGACTAGTGTTATGGCCGAGGTGTAAAGTTGCTTGTACATTATTGTCTGGAGTTCTATCAAGATCCAGATTGATTTTCTTTCCAAGTTTTCCTCATTTTCGATCTATATAAACTTGTGAGATTAATGTTACAGATTTTGCTGAACCAGTTTCAATCTGTTCACTGTGTAAGAGTACTTGTACTTTAGAAGTTTGGATCCATTGTGATCAATCCGAGAAGTAGTGCAAATTACCATCACGCAGACGAGAAACAAAGAGACAAGTAAGAACAATGTGACGGATTACAGCGCAATGCGACCATAGACAGATTGTACCTTGATGAGGTATAGAATTTACACATTTCGTGCACATACTAATTATTTTTTAAAAGGTTTCATATATACCACCGTTCTCTAATTTGCAACTGACACCCTTACAAACAACATTCTCAGATATTGTTATCAAGTGTTTAGGGAAAAACTTTGAGATATAAAGACTATCCAAGGTCGGAGGCACGACTCAATGTCAAAGAAATGGACATTCTTCGGCGTCAAGTCAGGGAAGAAGATTTTTATTAACTTTTTTTAAACCATTGTATAAATTTCTCATGAAGTTTATTCTAGATATCAACAGTAGCTATGACTTATTCATGACAACAAACTACGTTATGCCTCTAAATGATCTGATAACCAAAGTGTATCTAGAACCAGAAGAAATCTATACACACAATTTTTCTGCACTTTAGAAGTTTTACATGAAAGCAAACTTGGTTCACAATAATGATTTAGAGAAACTAATCTTATGCATAATTACTTAAGAGAATAGCCATATTCTTGAAGTCGGCTACTTACTTTGCTCATTGCAGTGATATGTATGTTATTTTTTCTACACAATTACATAATGCATGATGAAAATAAAGAACGTTAGGTAAGTAGCTACGATAACCAATATTTTAATATTGGTTATCGTAGCTAGTATTTTTAATTGCTTATTTATTGGGTTCCAGGCAAAAAATTACAAAAAGGAAGGTTATAGGCAAAAAACAAAAATTATTTTTCCCATCTTTTGAAAAATATGAAGTATTTGGTTTTTGAAGGTGCCGCAATACGAATTTATTTTTGGAAATCCGTACATTTGGTTAATTCATATTTTCTGAGGTAGAAATGAATGCAAGACAAAATCTACAGAAATAATGTTGTTAAGATTTTGAACCAGAAGAAAATTGTGGAATGATGCTTTTAAAAAGGTGATATTATTATTAGTTCTAAAGAATAATAGGTTCTAATATATCAACGAAGTATGAACCTTATTCATTTTAAATTTATATCAAGAAATTGGTCTCGTCTGCAAGATCCATAGTTGTACATATAAGGTAAAACATATTTATCCATATCTAAAGTGTGATTAGTTTTAATTTGAGCCTAAATATGTTCAATTGATTAGTAATTAGATTATAGAATGAAAAGGTGATAGTTTAATCTGAAGATTTCAATAATTACTTATTTCTGAAAGATATCACAAAATTTGTCAAAAAATATGTCATTACTAGCCAACATCCAAGAAATCACCCAACATACCCACAAAACACAACTGACAGCTTTATGTACGAGAAGTATTGTCATACAGAAATAACAACATTATTTCTGTAGATTTTGTCTTGCATTCATTTCTATCTCAGAAAATATGAATTAACCAAATGTACGGATTTCCAAAAATAAATTCGTATTGCGGCACCTTCAAAAACCAAATACTTCATATATTTTAAAACATAGGAAAAAAAAATTGCTTTCACAAATGTCGAACCCCTTAATTACAAGATAAGTACACCAAGAATTCCTAATACTGTTCGTAATGAGCATGCTCCTATATATACACAATTATGTAAGGTTCCCAAGAGCTGCACTACGTAGCCGTTACAACGAGCTGTAGCGTCTTAGTCTGCTGACCATTCAATCATCACGTGATTTCTTATATGCATGCCTCCTGTCCAATTGACGCTACACTGACATGCATCTCTTCAATACCACGTGCAAATCTTGACTGTGAATCCTGAAAGTTACTAGACGTACAAGCCAACATCTTATACATCTCTTCTTTACACTTCTTTGTATTACCGAGAGGGTTCATAATTTCTAGTATGTGGGCTAACCACTCCACTTCTAACGAATCACATCCACAAAAAAACATCGTGCGAAACCTACCCTTCGTTTATTCTAACTTGGCATCACAATTTTTTTACATTTTTTAATATCCTTTGTAGCTTGTAAGTCTCTCTCTGCCGAAGGAAAATTGTGGATCTGGATCCCTGCGAAATTCTTCCTAAGTGACCTCTGCCAGCCTAGCTTTTTATGATTGCTCATTCTCCTACCTCTCTCAACTTCAGTCACCTACTTCACAGTATCAGTTTGGTCATGTTGAGCCTGCGCATCACGATCCATCATATGAAGTACCTCTATGTAATCCTCTTCTTGATACTTCAGAGCCACCTCACTCAACCACATCAGAACAAGGATCACCATTTTGTCATCGTAGCTCCGACTTCATGATGACTCGTAGCTACTGCTTCGGCATCATTCTCTCGACTACTTCCTTCGCTACTTGGAGATAGCCAATCCATACTGTGCTATCATACATATTTACTAGGGAAAAAGAGATGTAGATGGCATCCTTTCATCATACAATAAATCCGGTTTCCATCGCATGTATATTGGTGTTTTCTGCTAACTACCGTTATAACTCGACCTCATTCTTTGATTACGGAAGGTCAGTCTCACGAAAGGTATACACTCGTCTTAGATCTTAACCACTGCTTTTAGCCATCTTCGTTCCGGGAACTGTCGCTTTATGATAAAACAGAATAAAAACTTGAAATCTCTTTACAAGGATACAAAAACTGGTATACATGTTTGTCTGATGGCATCGATAGGTCGTTCATGATTTGTAAGACAATGCTGTAAAGTCCTTCACGTGCTTATGAAAATCCCTCATTCTTGTGTAGGATTTAGGTGTACAGGATGCAAACTGATACAAGGACAGTATACAGTAAATGGCCATTCAGAAGAAAGCTCAATACATAGTGGCCCCCAACATTAAACAGATCTCCAAATGGTTCACATTCATTGGACCAAGATGTCTCATTTCAGGTTGTGTGCACCATATCATATGGTGAATTAGATGGGTCATATGGTCCATATGTACCATCTAATTCGGGGAAGTAATAGGTAGGTAGACATGAAATACATGTCCACAACTAGAGACATGTATCGCTTGGAATTAGCAGCATTTAACTCAACCCTGAGGTCCTGACCTGGTTCGCATGTCTGTCCGGACACGATACGATATGAGGATAAATATCGGTACGTTTTCGTCAGTGCGTGAATTGAGTCCCCGCATTATCAGCGATGGTTCAAAAGTCTTTGTAAAGGGTTCGAGTGCTCAGACATGTCTGAGCAAGAACCACCTGAGAAAAGAAAACAAGAACAACGGTTTATTCTAGAGTAGACATCAAGACATGTGTACGACCTCTCACCGTATGAAAGGTGCGGGGAGGCATCACGAAACGTTTGTACAGTAACTTCTGCACTTCTCTGCACTGCACCTATTGATTTGATTTTCCTGAGCATCTTTTCTGGTCGTTTAATTCTTCATTTTGGTTTCTCGTGATTGTGCCATTGGTTGTGTCGTCTGGCAGATCTCGCCCTTCCGACTGCAGGCTTATCCAGTTATCCAGCTCTCACATCATTTCTAAATTAAAGATCTAGGGGAGGGAGGGATGCGGTGGGGGGTCGGAGGCGTATTTTTATATGGTGTTTCATGCAAATTCGCTCGAGATCATGCAGGAGATCGAACGTCAAGCTCTAGAATTCTGTCATTATCCTCTAGAGCACAGAGTTGGATGTGGCGATGTGCAGCTACCAGTTGGTCTAGAATATGATATATCTACCTTTGGTGGAGTTGAAAGGGCCTCACGTCTATGAGGAGTAGGGAAAATGATGTGTACCACGACATATTATCATGTTTTTGGCCAAAGGGCAAATCACAGCAGAGGTAAACCGGATTACTACAACCTCTTCAAAAATTCCAGGCGCTAGGAAGTCCTGAGACCCAGAACAGAGTGAACATGGCCGAAACCGTTCTCCCTTTCTTTGAAAACTTTCTATAAGACTTCACATTTTTGACCCCAAACTTTAGATTGATTATGATCTTTTTCCCCGAATCAGTAATCAAAGGAAAAAACAGCTGAATACCAAAACGTGTACATGTGATGCAGAAGGGCATCTCATACGCACCAATGCGGGTTTGAGGCGATCAACCGCCTACTTGACACGTCTTGTCCAATATCTGGGAGTGGAAGAGTGTCACCACACTTGTGAACTCAACAGTCATCATTTTACGCTCTGATATGGATTTTCCATCCGAAGTTTTCAGTCAAATCTGAAAGGTCCGGAGCACAGGACGATACGCACCCCTTCATGATGACAATCCTCAAGCAAGAAAAAGTAGGTGGACTGCAGGTCTGTAGACATAGATGGTCGGTGCTGTGGAGAAGGGCCAGTGGCCGGAGCGCTCCTGGTTAACATGGGAGATTTTTTCTATGTGAGATCATCCGCCTCTTCTCTCTCGGATTTTTTTCGAGACTGATAACATTTCATCACCAACTGACCTTGATCTACGATCTGCTAGATCTACGTGGATCGTCTTTTCAGTCAACTGCAGACTAATTCTGCTTTGAATGTGCCATGCAGGCCTGGACGAATCGCCGCTCGAAACCCCCGTGCCATAACGTTGTAGCACCGAACGCAGCTATTGTCGATGGTCGTCTCGACATGAAGATTCACGTCAAATTTGTGCTAATTCATTAAATTAATTTGTGTGATGGGAGTCCCATCACATAATTATAGACAGGTTAGTTTACTGATAGGTGTGATTCTTGGAAAGTTTGGTACCCTATCGTTGCGGACAATTTGATAGCCACTGCAGTTTGTCAGTCTGAGAAAGTCGTATGGATTTGACTTTGCTTACTTACATTTACTGTTTTACTTCAATGGATTTTAGCTACAAGCGGGAGAGTATCAGATTGGTTTGAAGAGTAGATCAGATGAACTTAATCATCGGCAGAATTTAACTCAGATCTGCCTCTCATAATGCAACCTGAAGGCTAAGGAAGTATGCTTCTCTACCAACATCTTAACTCTCAAGTTTTGAACTCAATGTTCCAAATTGATAGGGAGATTGAGAGGTCTTGGTACGCATAAGAGTTGAAATTTGCTTTTAATCATGTGATAAAACAATCTAACATTACTTTATCGTAACATTGATAACATCAGTCAACTTTTCTTGTGATCGTATTAAAATAAAAATATATTATTAATGCATAAGATACATCAAACTTAAAATATATATCAAAACATAAAATCTGATATAGGAAATACAAGTAAAATTCAAAATCATATTTGACATTAACTTCGTCTTTAAAAAATAGGTTTTGATTAGAAAAACCTAAAGATTTTTAATTCTACTCAAATATAAAAAATTAATTGAATGAAAAACGGTTCATATCAAAGCACGATGTTGCTTGCCTAAATTATAACAGTAATAGTAATCAATTGTTCCAAGATTATCTTTTCAAATAAAGTGTATTTCATAATTATTGCTTTATAAAATATAATCTAAACTATTCTTGGGTAATTTTTATGAATTACACAACGTATTAAACATTTTTGCAAATAAGCACCATAAATTTTTCCACAACGGCATATGAGTTGAAAAAAGGTGTTACTCATTTACACACTCAGAATGATTATATATTCAATATATTAAAAAAAATTTATGTATTTTACAAGTTGTGCATATATTCATTGCATCACAAATATAAATAAATATATATATATATATATATATATAACATCAAACATCGCAACATACAAATTTTCATACATCAACACAAGTGTATCACGCTAATGTTTTATCTTTGAAAACGTTCACCAAGAAATCACAATATATTTATCACATAAAAGAACAAATTAAAATTGAAACAAGCATACTTTGTTTCTAAAAGATTCTAGATTATTGCACCAGCTATTCTCCATCATATTGAAACTTTTTGGAGCTCAACTTCCAAAATTGAATATAAGTAATTTGAACTTTTTCACATGAGTTTGACAATTTTAAACAATGGTATCTCTTCTAACAAATCCTCAAATGCGAACAACACTAATTGCACAATCTACTCTAACTATTGTGTTTGATTCTACATCTTAGTATCTACCTGCTAAATAACCAATGCATGAGTTGTGATAATAGTCATATATTCATTGCACCACAAAAAATATCATCAGTACATGAAATATCACAATACACAAAGTGTCATACACTAATACAAACATATCACAATTGTTAATCTAATTGGCAATTGAGTTACTCTACCATGAATTATTCATCTATCCATTACATGATATGTTTTTTGGAAGATTATTTCATTTTTAAATCAGAGGCTCTAATTGTTAGAAATTAATTCAAGTCTTCCTCTAACTCATGTTATCTACACGTAGTAACTTAGGATATTCACATTTTCATTATATAAAAGAGCTCACAAAAAAAATTTATGACATTTTTAGACATAATCTCAATAGAAGTTTTTTTTTTTCATAAAGGTTGAGGCTTGTCTATGGATGTAGCCGTAGTATTGAAACACATGTTTCCATGTGTGTACGTTCTAATATTGATAGTTAGTCTATAGGTTCTTACATGCTGCATAACAATTGATATCATAGTTTTAGGTGATTGCATGAGAATTGCATATGTGCTTTGTAGATCTTTTTTTGTTTATTTTGAAACTTCTATTTATTCTAGTACATTGAAACCTAGCTAATTCTATAAACTACTGAGATTTTTTTTGAGAAAATGTTGTTGATTATGTGACGTAACAAAAACGTTGACAAAGATCTCTTTTGTTGAATGTTTTTTTAGCAAATTGCAATTTGGATCCAATATTGGATCCAAATTGCAGCGATTAGGATGTTGAAGAGAAATTTTATCCCAATAAAATAAAATTCATCTCCGTATTGGTCTTTATATAGTGAGCTTGAAAAATCTTAGAAAAATGAGGCCTTAATTATCAAGAATTAAGTTAATTAAGAATTCAATATAATTTTTGTCTAAAAGCTGAAGTTGAAATAAATTCAAAATACAAATTTGAAAGCTTCAGCTAGAGTGAAAAACTTGTGGAATGTGAGATTTGGATCTCATTCCATTTTGTCCAAATGATTCTTGATCAATTTGGCCAAATATATCTTGGTACCGTATCAGAATTGGAGCTAAAGCTTATCGAAGCATGAGGTACTAATCTTCCAATCATCATGTACAAGACTCTAGATATCTTGCGGAAGAGAAGATCTAGCAACTAAGAAGAAGTAGTGAGAAGCATGAACAAAGAGTATAGCGAGAACTAAAGAGTGTTGTGTCGCATTCCAAAATGCTTGTAGAAAAACAAGTTGCTTCAAAAGCAACATGTTTGCTTCAAAACCACCTATTAGATTGGTATCAAAGATCATATGAACCTGAGATTCGGAGATGAATTCTACAACATTAATCCTTGAACATCATTATTTGACTAGTTTCTTCTAGAGCATGAAACTTGCTTCTTAGTAGATAAATAACATATTTGGTGGTTGAAATTGACAAGCTGCTACAAAAAGATGAAGGATGATATTATTATGAAGTGAGTAGCTTCTTCTCAAATCTAACCTATATTTGTACAATGTGGCTTCTGTCAAATTTTGAGATTTGTAAACGATGAATCTAACCTATATTTGTTAAATGTGACATCTACCAAGTTTTAGGAGGCATGGATTAGAGTCAAATTTTGATCCATTCATTGACAAGAAGTGAACCAAGAAAAGAGAGGGAAAGGAAGGAAGTCAGCATTTTAGTATTCAAATTTGACAATCATTTGTATAATTTTATTTTTTTGTCCAAGCGGACGTTGGATGAACGATAATGGTTTTTGGAGTACAATTGTCAGGGCAATTGAATATGATGAAGGTGTTTCATGTCTCCTCTTGAGAGCGGATTTTTCTAACTCACGTTAGATTTATTTTCATTTGTTTGATTGGTGTCTAGTTCTTCATTTTAATGAAGAGTTCAAGTTTTTGTCACTTGAAGCTTTGAAGTTCATTAGCTTGATTTGATATCTATTGTTGCAAGCTAAATAACCGTGGTGGCAATTTGGAAATGAACTGGTGTCTGCAATCAAAAATTCATTTATTAGAATTCAAATCTCTCAATTTGTAGTTTTTTTTGTTGTTTTTTCAATTCAAAGGATCTTGTGTCGCGCATTTTGCATGCCGTGCATTATGAAGAAGATTTGGAACAAATTTGTGGATTTGATTTCTTAGTTTAGGAACTGGAAGAGTTATCAGAAGAGGAAAAGTGAGGATCTTTGGCGTTTTAAGATTTGCAATTTTGTCAGACTTTTAAGACAACGAGGATGGGAAATCTTGCGTTCTACATGTGATTGGCAGAAAAGTAGTCACTTATTGTAGTTGATTGTATAGATTAAAAATGCAAATGAATAAAAATGTACGCATATCAATTTACACTATTAATCCTAACCCTAATTTTGCTTGCACACGATTGGTCGATTTACTCCTCCTTTGTCTTCTCCAATTCTAAACCCTCACAAGGTAGAAATTAAGAAACACTTCAAAAATTGATCCCCGCCCATCTATAACATACAATGTTGACTTACACTGGATGTCTTCATAGACCAACCACAAAATCTTGAAACATCTAATCAAGTTGCTCAAAGTTGGGCAAAACTGAACTAAATTGCAAACGGTCTAAAATCATCTCAAACCTTCAGTCTAGTATGTAGCAGCCAAGCTTTTCTACTTGCTTTGTCATTTGAATATGACAAAGCAACAACAATACTACACAGCTCAGGCCAACTTCTTTTATCATGTAGATAGAAGATCTCCCCAATAATACTAGACGGCTCAGGCCAACCAAAGAAGATCTGTACTGTGTCTCTTGTAGACTGCAGCGGTATTGCCGTTTTCAACCTAGAAAGCACCCTAATACAAACAATCATTCTCTAGTCACTTTTCCTTATATCTTATTCAATCCTAAAAAAAAATAAAAACTTCTCATATTTTTTTCTTTTCCTTTTTTTTTATAGTTCCTAGACAAAGAACACTTAATTTTATTTCATTTAAATTATGGAAGTTTAGATACTTTTTTATACTCCTAACTACTTAGCCAACACTAATTCAAAGATTTTGTCATTCTTGAGATGAATTTCAAATGTGGGTACATAATTGAGTTCACATAAATTAACATAATAAGCTAAATATGTAGGTATTGTAGATTTGAAAAAAATATTAATAATATTATTAATATTATGGGAAAAATAATTTTTATTTTTATTGTGATATATAGAATGCATTATATCTTCTTTACAAATCAAAAAAATAAAAGCATAATGAAGCAAATCAACAACATGAGATATAACTCTATAAGAAATGCATGTTCCAATTAGAAGATTAAGCTAGTTTAGCCTAACATTGAATTCAATTCAGCTAATGTCTTGATCAAAGTTATTTTCTAAAAGAGTTTCACCATACATTTTGCTACTTGGTGATTTTGTAAAAGAATTACAAGAAAATGTTTATATATTTTTTAATTTTATTTTTTTGCTATGATTTAGTTCAAGTTAATTTTAATCTACAAAGTAGTCAATGAAAATATTGTAAAATGAATTATGTAGGTCATGATATTAACGCCATCCAATAATGAATTAATCAGAAAATTATTTAAAAGTCAACTCATATCTTGATATTTTCAAATTAACGTAAATTAATTACTTAATCTAATAATTTTTTATTTAATAAGACATTTGATCAAGATTTTTTATAACACACAAAATTTATTTAACCTTAACACGTTCGTGTTTCAAAACAAAACATGTAATGATGATTCATACATTTCTTGTGTT